ATTTCAGAGAGAGGAAAGGAGAGGGAGGGAGAGATAGAAACATCAATGATGAGAGAGTCCTTGATCGGCTGCCTAGCTGGCAACCGGGGCATGTGCCCTGACCGGGAATCGAACCGGGATCTCCTGGATCCTAGGTCAATGCTCAACTGCTGAGCCACACCCGGCCGGGCAAAAACATTTATTTTTCAATTACAGTTTACTTTCAATATTATTTTGTGTTGGTTTCCGGTGTACAGTATAGTGGTTAGACAACCATACTTTGCAAAGTGACCCCCCCCCCCATTTCCAGTACCTATCTGGCACCATACATAGTTATTACAATATTGTCGACTCTGTTCCCTGTGCTGTACTTTACATCCTGTGGCTGTTTCGTGGCCACCAACGTGTACTTCTCAGGCCCTTCCCCTCCCTGGCCCAGGCGCCCCTCCCGCTGGCGGCCGCCAGGGCGCCGTCTGTGTGTGTGCAGCGCGCTGTGAGGCTTCTCCGCCAGCGAGGAGCACAGGCCTGCGTTTGCTCTGGACAGCGTTCGGACACAGCACAAGAGTTATGTACAAAAAGCCTGTTTTTGTGAGAGTCTTCCCACTGCCTCTCCTTCCCTCCCCTGTCCCCCTGCCCCGCCTGCAGAGGCGGACGGAGCTGCATCACCCGCGCCGCCCTTTCCCCCTTCGCCCGGCTGCGCCTCTGCTTGTGCGCGTGCGCGGGCGGCCTCGGCCCTGCCGCGGGTCGGTTCCCACCGCCGCGGAGACGCGCGCATCGCGCTCAAGCCGGGCGGAATCTTCTCGCCCCGGGGGTCTTGCCTTCAGTTTGTAAAACACGCAACAGCTGTGAAGTGTAACAAAGCTATTTTTGCTTTATATTTTACTTAGATGGGATTGTACTTTCGGTAACGCGATTCCCTCCCCTCCCCTCCCCTCCCCTCCTTTTCTTTTCTTTTCTTTTCTTTTCTTTTCTTTTCTTTTCTTTTCTTTTCTTTTCTTTTCTTTTCTTTTCTTTTCTTTCCTTTCCTTTCCTTTCCTTTCCTTTCCTTTCCTTTCCTTTCCTTTCCTTTCCTTTCTTTTCTTTTCTTTCTTTTCTTTTTTCTTTTCTTTTTTCTTTTCTTTTCTTCTTTTCTTTTCTTTTTTCTTTTCTTTTCTTTTCGTCTTTATTTTTTAGAGCAGTTTTAGAGTTTCAGCAAAATTGGGAGGAAGGTACAGAGATTTCTATATAACTTCTGCCCGCCACACATGCACAGCCTCCGCCCTTGCCCCCATCCCCCACAGAGGGGTACATTTGTTACAAACGATGGCGCATCATTATGACCAGAATCCACAGTGCTTTTTATTTTAAATACTATATTTTAGAGACCTCCGTGAGAAGTATATATAGTTAGACCTCCCTCAATTTTTTATCCACTACAAGGATCTCACTATGTGAATGTACTATAATTTATGCCCCCATGTCCCTGTTAGATGCATTTACATTTTTCAGTTCTTTGCTATTAAAGTGACTTCATGATCATCCAGCACACGGAGTAGTGTTTTGTTAGGATAGAGTCCTAGAAATAAAATTACTAAGCCCAAGGGTGTGCAGAAATAAACTGCTGTTGAGCCCGAGCCTTCAGGTGTGACTGGCGCGGTGATTCTTGAGCGTCTGCACGCGAGTAGCCTGCTCTGCAGCTTATCCGCGGCTCTGGGCTTTCCCGGCCTCACGCTGCTCCCTGTGATGCGGCCGGTGCGGGAGTGCAGGCCTGCGGGGTTTGTGTTCTGAAGCATGCTGAGTCAAATGACCAGGAATTTTTCAAAAATGATACAACTCACCTTCCTTTTAACACATGGTTAATGGAAATTGGTTATGTTGTTAATAATTGGAATATAGCACCCCACTGCAACCCAAGTTCAAGTGGCCTGCGGGTTCAAGCACACCCCCTTGGCGTCAGAGCTGGAAGGAGCTGCGGAAGGCGGGGTACTGGCCGGGCCTCTGTGCCAGCCCCGGGACGGAGACAGATCGTCCTGCTGCTTGAACAAGAGCCGCCTAATCTAGCATCAAATCCATGCCCCAAGCCTGCGGAGAGACCTTTCTGTTCTCCTTTTAATGTATAATTTTACCTCTTAATATAATGCAGACGATTCTGCCTCGTGTATCTCGTCATGATAATCAAAAGTGACTTTTACCACGGGAGGGTTTTGAAACTTTTTCGAAGGTACTTTTCACATGGACTTATTTTGATTCTTAAAATAACGCTTTGAAGCAGGGAGGATGTTTTATAGATTAAACCGAGTGAGTTCTGGAAAGCATGCGAGTGACTAAGGAGAGCAGTGGGATCAGAAGCTCCAAATACAGGAATTCCAGGGCTCTTCATGTGCTGTGATAAACCACAGCAAAGCAAGAGCTAGTGGGAAAAGTCTGTGCTCAGAAGTAGGCTGCTTTGCTTCTTGAGGTATTTCACGAGACAAGTGATGGACTAGTTGGCCTGTAGGACTATTTTATTTATTTTATTTTAATTTTATTTTAAATACATCTTTATTTCAGAGAGAGGACAGGAGAGGGAGAGAGAGAGTCAATGATGAGAGAGTCATTGATTGAGCCCGCAACCCGGGCATGTGCCCTGACCCAGAATTGAACCCCGATCGCCTGGATCCTAGGCCCACACTCAACCGCTGAGCCACGCCTGGCCGGGCTGTAGGACTATTTTATGCATTTGTAATAAGAACGGTTTCTTTTCAGGCTATACCACAACAGGGCTAATAATAGATATTATGATTGTAATAGTAATTTGCTTCATAAAATGCAGTTCAGGAAAGTGGCTTAGAATACCTGAATCCATCATACGCGAGATGATTTTCCCTGGGATAACAGACCGATAGAAATGCTTCATTAGCTCCGACTCCAAATACATACAAGAATTAAATGGAACCACATTGTTACAGTGAAATTAATACACTGTGTTTATAACAGATGCATTTTTTTCACCCCCGCAATTAAAGTGTATATGAAAATACATATGTGGCCTTAATTAGCAGATTCTAACATTCTGTTCTGCCCGGTTACATAGCTAGCACCTGTGTCCTAAGAAATAATGCATCCTCCCAAATATATGCAGACATGGGTAATGTTGCCATCACTCACATTTTCGTCTACGTGTGAAGCAATGGAGACATCAAGGACACATTGTCTCCCATGGCAGGGGGAGCACATTTGCTCGATGTTTCTGGTTTATAGGCTAATTGGAATTTTAAAAAGATTTGCCACATGATCCTGGCAGATGGTATTTTGCTTTATCATTATTCATGGGTATTAATGACTTCCCTCTGGAGCATGTGTATCCTGTCTATTTTGAATTGCATTATATTTCATGCTGACTGCTCCACACAGAGCCAGAGCCAGTGTTTTCCGTGTGGTGCTGAAGCTGCGCATCGTTTGGTTGGTGGAAGTTGGAGACTTGGTTAGGATTTAACTCTTTGCAATGAAGGAAACTATTTTCTTCTCTGTCCTGAACGTCCCATTACATTTCTCATTTTCTTCAGCTTGCTGTCCCACTGGGCAGGGTGCACTATCTGGTGCCTGGAGACAACTGCAGAGTGGATGCATCTTTCATTAGCCTGAGATGATTAGACATCCTTTCTCTCTCCCTTGGAAGGTTGGGGTTTGGTTTCCTAAACTGGAGAAAATGCATGAGAACATGATGCTAGGATTCTGCCACAGAAAATAATTTATTAACTAATTCCTTGAACAAATATTTATTAGAGAACAGCCTCCTCTTTGTTTATTTGATGTCTAAAATGCTTAAGCCTACATGAGGCAGCTGGCAGAGTTGCTCCCAACCAGCTAATTACCTGAGGGGAACGTTACATCACAGAGCAGAGCAGCACAGAGCAGAGAATTGTGGTAGGTGGAGGTGCCACGGTCCTTACTTGGCAGTAACCAAAACTCAAAAGAGTGGGCTGTAGAGTTTACCTTATTGGAGCTTTTTGATAACACTAAAGCTTTTCTGCAACCAAAGGACACAAAGTGTTGTTGGGACATTTGAGAATGAGGAGCTAAGGCTAGGGTAGCCTGACCTATTGGTCTTGATTCCTCTGATCCCTGTCCTTGCTTGATTTTAGACACTCCATGGCCCCCTTCCTTTACATTCTCCCAACTTTTTTTTTTTTTAATATACCTTTATTCATTTCAGAGAGAGGACAGGAGAGAGAGATAGAGAGAGAGAGAGAGATAGAAACATCAATGATGAGAGAGTCATTGATTGAGCCCACAACCCGGGCATGTGCCCTGACCGGGAATCAAACCCCGATCGCATGGATCCGAGGTCGACGCTCAACCGCTGAGCCACGCTGGCTGGGCTACATTCTCCCAACTTTTATCCCTCTGTTTTTCAATGTTATTTAGCGAGGCACTGTTCTAGGTTCTGAGATTCAGAAATTAATAAAAAAAGGCAAGATCTCTACATCATGGAAGATAGAGACAGTCTCTCTCTAAAGCAGAGGGCATATTTGGTTGATGGCCAGTGTAACAAAGACAGTGTCTCCTTCTGGGACAAACGTGGGTCAGATTTGCTTGTAGCCTATTATAAAAGATTAGGGCTCCTTTCTTAGGTTTCTTCAGCTATGACACAGATCCACTGCATGTGTACTGTCCATGCAGGCCACTTTGCATACCCCCCACAGAGTTTGGGGGACAAGGAGAAGTGACAAATATAAAGTTCATGCTTTTACTGTACTGTGAGTACCAGGAGCCTTGTGTCTTCTGACAGCATCCATGAACCTGTGGCAGGCTAACTCGTTACCTTACAAGTAGGAAAATCCTCAGATTCTTCCCAGTTCTTAACATTAACTCAAGATAGTACCAGTCAAGTCTTTTATCTTCCTACTTCTTTCCCAAATGATACTCCCCTTAACCCTGGAGGGACCAGTGGCCACGAAGTAAGTAGGAAAGTAGTGGAATAATAAAGCTCTAGTTGGGGAAAAGAGAGAAATTGACCACACTATTTCTTTACCACCGAAGCCTTTTCTTCTTCAATAGATCAAAGATGGAGACATAAAAATTAAAACTTCTCATGAAATTCAGAGTTTATGGTTACTATACTGGGGGAAATAGTGAACATTTTATTATTGAAGCAAAGAAAAAAATGTCAGTGAGTGTATTCTAAATTTCATCCAAAGGGGCAGGAAGAAAGAACTCTACAGAATATGTATGTAGGGGAAGTTATGAGACAATAATTAATTAAGGTTATTTTCTATTGTTTACATGTTCAACCTACCATTACACCTCAACTCTACAAAAAATAGGAAGAAAAATGGCAATTTCCCACTCCTAGCAAGAATTGAACTCCTATCATAACTCCTTTTGTTCCCAGCATGAGACTGTAGTGATGGTAGAGTCCCAGGGATCTGGATAGTGAGGTAACATCATCACCATAAGGTAAGGTTGTGACACTCCAGTTATGATTTTTGAAACAAAGATCCTTCCAAATTGAAACATGAAATGATATTTTGACATACTTTTCTAAAATACATTTATTTAGTCATCATTCGACAGCCATTCACATGTATTATGTTAAGTTCTAGGGATATTAACATAATTAATGTTCAGTGAACATTGTGGGAAGTTGAATTATACTTCAGAAATATATTCCTCTCCCTCGTTTTCATATGAGAAGCAGACATTCTCACATCATGGATATTGGACTTGGCCATGTGACTACCTTTAACTAATGAGTGTTAATAAGATACGATACAATAGATACTTGAAATTTGCTTATATTGAAGGACTTATGCTCTGGACACCTTAACAATATTAAGTCTTCCAATCCATGGACGTGGTATGTCTCTTCATTTACTTAGGTCTTCTTTATTTTATCTCAGTAATAGTTTGTAGACTTTAGTGTACTTACCTAAATTTTCTTAATTTATTTCTAAATATTTCACTTTTTTATGCTATTGTAAATGACATTCTTTCATTTATATTTGTGGTTAGTATATGGAAATGCAATTGACCTTCTATTTTGCAACTTTGTAGATTCCTTAGGATTTTTTTTACATAGGCAATAATGTTATCTGTAATTCTACTTTTCTCTTCCCAATTTGGCTGCCTTTTACTTCTTCTAGTTACTTTATTGCACTGACTAGGAATTCCAGTAGAAAGTTAAGTAGAAATGGTGGAAGTCACGTCTTTGCTTTGTTCCTGATTTTAGGGACATATTCAATCTTTCATCATTAAGTATGATGTTAGCTATAGGTTTTTCGTGGATACCCTTTATCAGCTTAGGGAAGTTTCCTTCTATTCCTAGTTTGGTGAGAATTTTATCTGAAATAAATGTTGGGTTTTGTAAAAAGAATTTTCTGTATCTGTTGAGATTATCATATAGGGGTTTTTTTGTTTTGTTAATATGGTGAAATATATTGACTTATTTTAAAAAATGAAGTAATTTTGCATTCCTGGCTTAAAATCCTCTTCGTTATGATTTATTATCCTTTTTCTATATATTGGTGGATTTAATTAGCTAGTTTTTGTTAAGGTTCTTGAAATCTATGTTCGTGATGAACATTCACCTGTATAGTTTTATATTCTTGTCATGTCTTTGCCTTGGTTTGGTATCAGGGTATTAATGGCCTCATAGAAGTAGTTGGAACATGTTTCCTCCTCTTCTATTTTCTGTAGGTGTTTGTATAGAATTGGCATTATTTATTCCTTAAATGTTTGATATAATTCACCTGATTGAAGCCACCTGGGCCTGGAAATTTCTTAGTTGGAAGGTTATAAATTATGAATTCAATTTCCTTAATAGATACAGGGCTATTCAGGTTATCTACTTATTCTTGAGTAAGTTGGGTAATTTGTGTTTTTGAAGGAATTTGCCCATGTGGGTGATAAATTTAGCCAAAAGTTATTGACTTCATTAACATAAAGTTGTTGATAACATTCCTTATTTTTTACTATTGTAGGATCTATATTGTTGTCTCCTCATTCATTCATGATATTGATAATTTGTGTCCTTTCTTTTTTATTGATGATTTTGACTTTGGATCTATCATATCTCCTTCTTCCATTCTCCCCTTTGCTCACTCCCTTCCTACTTCACTGGCTTCATTGCCATTTCTGGACAATGATAAGCCCCAGTGCCTAGAACAGTGCCCGGTCCAGAGTAAGTGCTCAGTAAATTACTTATTGCAGGACTGTATGAACCACCCCTACACAGAGGGAGTTTAGGGCAGCAGGCTAATTGAGAAAGCAACACCTGAGGCCAGACTCAATGTTGACTCCAAGCTCCTGCCCATGTGTGTCAATCCAAAATGCCTATGACATAATAGCTGTGCTCTTCTCTAGTGAAATAAGGGATAACCATCATTATAGTGAATTTACAGGAGGTTTTTAGCAGGGACACGTATGAAAACTACTGAAAAATGTTTTAATAAATCTCTCATGAATCTAGAAAAATCAAACACTGTTGAGTGCACTCATTTGCCATCATAACATCTCTTTTAGACTTTTGGGAAGCATTCCATCCTTCTTTAAAATAACACCCAGAGCTCTGCTAGCAAACTCTCCAAGCCTGGTGTGAGGCCAAAGGAAGAAGAGCCTGAGGATGAGGAACTTCGGATCCTGAGCATGATTGGAATTAAGTACGTGGGTGGTCTTGTGTGGTGGCTATTTTTGTATGAAATCCACATGTGTATTTGTCAAACTTGAGGTGAACTCAGAAATACTTTCACCTCACCAAGAGTGAGCATTTGTTCCACTTCTGGTATGAGTAAGCAAACATCGTTGAGTCTCAATTTCTCTTCAAATTCAGGACTCTGGTTAGGTCTTGATGGGTTTACTTGGCAAGGAACCCAGTCCATGCACAGAGGCCCGCTTCAGCGTGGAGTACAGCTCACAATCGTCCGCATTATGATCATTCTGCAGCCGAGGGCGAGCCACTTGATAGAGCCCCTCTAATGTTAATGATGCTAGAATGGAAATGCTTTTCTCTTTTCAATCATTGCCATGATGTTTTATTTTTATTTCTTTTTCAATTAAAGTTTACATTCAATATTATTCTGTATTAGTTTCAGGTGTGCAGCATAGTGGTTAGATGACCATGTACCCACCTGGGCCCAAACATAGTTATGACAGTGTTACTGAGCGTATTTCCTATGCTGTAACTTACATCTCTGTGACGACTTTGTGACTAACCATTCTTTATCCCTGTAGCTGTACTGCAGGGTGGGGACCGGGGGATATGCAGAGTCAGGAATCCTGAGCGCCTCCTTACATTTTATGCTTTAGGCACCTCACTTCCTCACCCCGATCTTGGTACTGCTATAATCTCTTATTCTGAACAAGGGAAGTTAGCATTAACTGCCCCAGGAAATCTGGAATCTCCTCATGCTGAGGTCCTTGAAGTAGAATCACCATCTTGATTCTGATATTCTGACTGGTTTCGGACAAGCCTTTTCTTGTTAGCATCTCCAAACTATGGAGGGCTCTCTGTGGAAACTGTTATTTCTTGGAATAACAATAGTACCACCTTGCTGCTGGAAAAAGGCCATTTGTCTTCTATCCCCTCCTGCCCCAGATTGTCTTCTTTTCCTTCCCAAAATATCATTTATTCCATTTTTGTTGCTAAATCATCGTGTTTAAGCAACAATAAGTAAGAATCTAGTGGGAAGCTTTTATAAACTAGCAATTGGACTTAAAAGCTTAACGGTCAAGTTTAGCTGAACTGAAAAGTTCTGACTAGAATGATCATAAAATTCACTAGGAGAGCCCTTTTTATTGATTTTTTTTTCAAACAGAATTTTTAAATATGATATTGCATTAAGTAAGACCAACCAACCCAGATCCTTGTAGCTTTATATCTGTTGCGTTGGTCAGATTACATGAATTTACCTGGGCTGTGATAAGAACCCCACATCTGAACAGGGATTATGCTCAGAGAAGATGATTCATTGACTATATTGTCAGAAATAAAATTTTGTTGGCAAAGGGCACTAACAGGGCCTGGCCGGGTGGCTCAGTGGTTGAGCATCGACCTAGGATCCAGGAGATCGCGGTTCGATTCCTGGTCAGGGCACATGCCCGGGTTGCGCTCGATCCCCAGTGGGGGGCGTGCAGGAGGCGGCCGGTCAGTGACTCTCTCATCATTGATGTTTCTGTCTCTTTCTCCCCCTCTCCCTTCCTCTCTTTAAAATCAATAAAAACATATTTAAAAGAAAAAAAAAAGTCACTAGCAGCTTAGATTCTTTGGGGCTAATGATAATAGTGAACATGTTTACAATGTGCCAAGACTGTTATGACACATCTTAAATAAACCTCATAAAATCGCACAGAGTAACTCTTATTATTCTTGTATTTTAGATGAGCAAAAGAAAGTAGTGTCACGTTTAGAATTATAAAGGAGATGTGGCCTGTGCCCAGGTCTTAATGTATAAAGGAGACTGAGTGACAACGTGAAGAGGTTAAGGCCAAGGAAAGAAGACTTTTATTGCTCACGTTTCCTGAGAAGGAGGAGCACACCATGGCATTCAGGGCCACATGAGGAGTTTGCAGTATGATTTTTATGCACCTGAGAAAGCTGATTGCAGGGGAGATGTAAACAACTTTGGGTGTTAGTTGGGCCCTGTGATTAAAGAATGCAAATAGATGAATGGTCTAAGAAAATTCAGTTAGAACCAAGTGGCATCAGGGCAGGAGCTGGACTCCAGATGAAAAGCTTTTTCCATGAAACCATTTAAATTCCTAATCACATTCTCCGTTCCAGTCCCCACACCCTCTACCCTGCTCCAAGCCATCTACGTTTGCCTCGCAGTTATTCACACTACCAGCCACTTAGCTGCTTTAGGTGGAAACACGACCCCTATACTATGTCTTTCACTCTGTTCCCAAATTTCTCTTCAGCTTGTCCTTTCTTTTTCTTTATGCCTACTACCCTTGCCTTGGGTCAGACTCTCTTAACTTGACTTCTCAGTCTCCTAATCCATCACTGGGTCGTATTCCCACACCTAACCCAGCTTCACCCTGTTTCCAGAATGATCTTTTGTAAATGACAGATTTGGTTACATCACTTCCTTGCTTACATGTTTTATGCTTCCCTATCTCCTTCAAAATTTTCAACAGAATATAAAGGTCTTTTGTGATTTGACCCTTGCCTATGTCCTAGTTGTCTGCCCTACAAAACCATGATACTATGTCCATCTATTTACCTGAGCCACAACCATAGGGCTGGTCCATAGCAGGATCTTATTAAATGTTTGACAAGTGGAAAGGAGAGAGAGAGAGAGAGAGATAGAGAGAGAGAGAGAGAGAGAGAGAGAGAGAGAGAATTTTTAACCAAATTGGTCGTCTTAAAGAATTGAGTTTCACTGGTGTTCAGGAAGTGAACTCATTGCCAGTTTTATTTTGGTAACTTTTTCTTGCAAGGTCTATAAGATTCTTGTGCTGAGCACAGGGACTCTAATATGTTCAAGGTATCGGGTTCTTCTAGCTCTAACCTCGCAGCTAAGAGCTGGCCTGGAACAGCAGCGCTAGACCGCAGATTGTTTCAAGTACCACAAGGGGTTGCTAGAGAGCAACAGAAGTGCTAAAGAAACTTCTTAAACTTTCTCCTTTTGACCGCATCATTTCTTAGTTTTGGGAGGAAGTAAGATGTTTTCTTCGATTCGGGGTTATATTTACTTAGTGGGTATGGCTGTGCTGTGGGTTACCCCATATTTGTCTGCTTGTAATAATTTTCTTTATGCCAACCCCTCTAAGGCTTCATCTGTCTTCTCTGCTGTTTGGAGGGACTCGTAATATGCCTTCTTCCTCACCTTCTTGAATGCGATCTACATCAATGGGGTTTTCAAAGGAAAGGAGAAGGCGGGCTCACATAGCCACCAGGGGACCAGCTAGCAGATCAAGCATCTTTGTGACAAGTGCCGAAGGGTGCCTCTTATAGGTAAACAAATTGCGAAAGGTGCCACTGCTTCCAAGCTGACCCAGCCTGGTCCCAGGGTAGTGTTTGTTTGGGAGCTAAACTCGGGATAGATTTCAGCCCTCATCCACACCCTTGGTCAGGCAACCTGGAGACAGACTTCTAGAATTAGTGGGCTAAAGACAGCCGAGAATAAGATGAGGTTTATATATATATATTTAATTATTTTCTGGAAACTTTGTAGAAAATGGGTGTGCACCCCGTGTAGCTGAGATGCTTGTGCTTTCTAAACTGTCTGAACTATTTTAAACTTTGCAATTATTTGATTATAGATCTTTATCACAATGAGCACTATTTCTGTATTTCTTTTTAGTATGTGGAATTAACATTCCCTTGTGATTCAAAGATGCTCAGTTGCTAGTAGACTCCCAAGGGTATGTGTTTGAGATAATGTACTTTGGCTTGTTGCACTGCTAGTTCAAGACACTGCAAGAAACATGGACATTTTCCCTGATGATATATGAAAGAGTATTTTGCTCCTTCATGCATCAGCCTAACACACTTTATTCATCCCGTGCATTCCTATAGTCTCTTTCTTGAATTCACTGTCATGTCTGATTATCACACAAATAATCTATCAGTTAGATTGTCTTTGCGTAAATGACAAAATCCAAATATCACAAGCTTATACAGTATAGAGGTTCATATTTATTTCACTTTAAATGAAGGCATGAGCGGGGTGGGATGGGGTAGAAGGTGTCAATGGGGAAAGAAAAGGGGACATCTGTAATACTTTCAACGATGAAGATAAATTAAAAAAAAAAAGAAACCTACAAGTCACCTAGGCAGCTATGGTAGCTCTACAATCATTAGAGACCCAGAAGCTGTCTTTCTGTCCATTCCCCCACCTTTTAGGTATGGCTTCTATGTTCAAGATTAACTCATGGTCTAAGATGACCCCTGGAGCCCCAGCCATCAGGCCCAAGTTCCAGGGAGAAAATAAAGGAAGATAGAAAGCAAAAGGGTACATGACTCCATGTGGACAGGCCCCTTAGGAGGGTATTTTTTAGATGTCTCAGTCAACAACTTCCATTTGTATCCATTAGCCATCCCCATCTACAAAGAATGCTGGGAAATGTGGTTTTTCAGCTGGACACACTGAGACTTAACAATACAGGAGTCTGTAATTAAGGCAGAAGGGAGAATAAAAATGGGGGGACAACTAGCGGCTCTACCACATATGAGAATTCAATTATTTGATGTCCAGGAGAATACGTGGGCTAAAAAACAAAATGCAAGAGGAGCTACCACACAGGGAGTTGCTGCATTGTCTTCATACAGGCACTGACTGCCTGTCTGCTCAGTGGCTGCAAGGTGGAGTCCCTCTGCCTCTCTTATCTTGAACTCACCTAGCTTCATTTACCATCCATATGCTCTCTATTTCCAGTGCTGTCCTCTCCCCGGGGCTCCAGACTCGCATAGCCTCTTACTGACTAGATAGTTCCTCTTGGAGGACACACAGGACCTCAAATTCAAGAGGTCCCCCAAGGGACCCAAGGACCTGTTCCTCCTTTAGTGTCCATGCTCCAGCTGCTTAAGCCCCAGACCTAGAAGTCATCCCTGACTCCTTCTCCTGTCTCCCTGCACTCTCCAAGATTGTTTCCTAGTCACCCCCTTCATCTCCACGACCAGCACCAAGGTCACGTCTGTATTGCCACTCACCTAGACAGCCGCCACAGCCTCTAGACTGGTCTGGGCTTATCCATTTCACCTCCTTCCAACTCATGCTTCACACAGCAGCCGGAGAAATCATTATATTTTAAATAATACAAACCTGATTATGGCACTCCATAGCTTTCTACTAATCAATGGCTTCTTATTGCCCTTAGGGAAAAGTCTAGCTCCATCACAAGGACTGAAAGGCCCCAAGTGATCACTCCTGCCTTCACCCTGGCTCAGCCACAATGGTCTCACTAATGAGCTCAGTTCTTTTCCGTCTCAGGCCTTGGCACGTGCAGTTCTCACTGCCAGGAATGCTCTTTCCTTGGATCCCCACCTCTTCATTTAGTGTCTCACCATGTGTTCTTTGAGGTGTCAGACCCACACACCCCAAACCATGCCAGATTGCTATGGGCTCCCGTAGCTCACTGTATTTGTCCTTTGAAGTGTGCATTGGCCTTTGAATTATTTGCTCAATTGTAAGTTCTCTGAAGGCAGGCCCCCTCTGTCTTGTTCCTTTCTGTATCCCTNATGCTCTTTCCTTGGATCCCCACCTCTTCATTTAGTGTCTCACCATGTGTTCTTTGAGGTGTCAGGCCCACACACCCCAAACCATGCCAGATTGCTATGGGCTCCCGTAGCTCACTGTATTTGTCCTTTGAAGTGTGCATTGGCCTTTGAATTATTTGCTCAATTGTAAGTTCTCTGAAGGCAGGCCCCCTCTGTCTTGTTCCTTTCTGTATCCCTCGAGCCTGGCACAGAGCTCAGCACTTATTCAAATACATAATCTTTCAGTCATTTACTCATTAACTTAAAACATTTGTTCACATCCCTGTCTTTATTTATGGTTCAGTGGTGGGGAAAAACTTAGTAATAGACGTACTCAAAGAGTTACTTCGTAAGATTCTGATGAAAGCTGTAAGCAAAATGATAGGTCATTTTGAATGTATGCACAAGGCGCATCTGACCTTGTCTTGGAGGGATGAGAAGAGTGGAAAGTGAGTTTTCTATCAAGGACACAAATAAGAATATTTTTGCCATCTCAACTCTAACCCTGCTCTGCACCCTCACCCCCAGCCCTACACTGGACCAAAAAATATAAACCCAGTGTGAGACGTGTTCAGTTGGAACATTTAAAAAATATATATATCTTTATTGATTTCAGAGAAAGGAAGGGAGAGGAAGAGAGAGAGAGAGACAGAAACATCAATGATGAGAGAGTCGTCATTGATTGGCTGCTTCCTGCACGCCCCCGACTGAGGATCGAGCCCGCAACCCCGGCATGTGCCCGACCCGGAATCGAACCCTGATCGCCTGGATCCTAGGTCGATGCTCAGCCGCTGAGCCACACCTGGCTGGGCCAGTTGAAACATTTTTAATCCATTAGTTAGCATAACGCTCTCTTCTTGGAGCTTCTGATTGTGGAAATATAATCCAGGAATTTGTCTGCTGACAATTTCTCTGCCTTTTCTCCCACCATTTCTTTCTGCCCATTTTTTCTACCCTCAGCCTCTCTCTGCCACCTTAGTCTGGTTCTGCTCTTGTTGGAAACTGTGTAGAACAAGGCTCCATATAACAAGCTAAACCTGCCCCTATTCACCATTTGGTCAACATGGATGAGTGAGGTTGCGGTCTTTATGAGCTTACAGCCTGTGATGGCCCCAGGCTAATGATCAAGAGGGACTTAGAGATGGCAAGGGGGCTGGAAGAGGGTCCTAAGAGACCACTCTTAAAGCTCTCTTTGCTTGCCAAGATAAATAACAATAGCAATTTCTGAAAGTGTTTTGATTCAAGTCTATATAAAATTGAAGGACCATATATATAATGAAAGAATCAGAACACCAAGGTGGGCTTGAGAGCAGCTCTGATGAAGATGATGGAGTGGTTAACCACCACCTAACTCTCCTTCCCACCAGCCATCCTTTAACATCAGCTATTCCTTACAACCTACTGACATCCTCAAGACATAGGGACCATTTGTTGGCAGCCAGGCACTGCAGTATCTTAGAGAGTCTATGAGCAATGATAAAGTTCCCAGCTGTAATTTTAAAGTCAGAGACTTCATTTAATCAGCCTTAATCTTTGGACACCCAGATTTCTCCAGGGCAAACCTCCATCTCCCTTATCTACAAGGTAAGGATTTCATGTGAAATCTTTGGCCAGGGGTCAGGCTGAGTCCATTCAGACCCAGGCCCAGCTTTTTACTTGAATAGGTGAGTAATCCCTAAGCAAGGGAGACCTTTGAGAATTCTTTACTTCCTGTCCAAAGCAGCAAGTTGGCCACAAGAGGGAAGCATCATACAGAGCGAGTGCTCTGGCCCAACCTGCTCTTTGTTCTGGTTTTCTATTGTCATCTATAAGGGAAAGTAGGTGAGACCCTACACAGGTGGCTGCTGTTCAGCTGTGACCAGGCCTGCCTGTGGTCTTAAAGTGACCATGCAACCAAGGGACACTCAGTGGATAGTAATTAACATTGATAACTATTTAAAATTTAATTTAGTAGTGAAAGTAAGCAAATCACTGAAAATGATAAGTATAGGTGGCAAATTCTTAGATTCAAAAGAGTCACCATATGCTGAACACCTGGAAGCAGGAAATCTGGTTCCAAGACTGGTCTTGCAATGCACTCGCTAGTCTTGGGCTTTTTTGGCAAGCCTCTTAGCCCCATCTTTTATATGGTCCCTATAATCTCTTCTGTCAATATGACAGGGCTGGTCAGAGCATGAAACCATGGAATCTGGGCAAAAGTGCTTAGAAAAATGGTCCAGCAGGATTGGAGACTTACTAGCATTGCAACTGGGTGACAGAGGAAATGAGATTTTTTCCAAGGTGGGCAGTGTGTGTATGTGACTCAATTTGGTTCTACTTAGTTTAAATCTTAGCTCAGTTTAATGATTCAAACCATCATCTCTTCAAAGCCAGGGCTTTGCCAGTATTAAAACTGAAAGTCATGTGCCTAGAATGCCCCTCAGTCTCTTTGGGATCATTGCTCAGGCTTTTCCATCCCCTCTGCTCGCATTTCTTCTCCACAAAGGCCCTGGTGAATGGAGAAAAGGTGTGCTCACCTGACTCAGCAGTGAAAGAGGAGCCCCGGTTTTCGGATCCCTGTGGAATTCTCTGGATCCTATCTGCCTCTCTCAAGGATACCCTTGGCGACTGGGTGAGGAGGACCTGGCAGCTTCAGAGACTGCTGGAGCTTGTCTCTGGTGCCCATTGCTTGAACCTCTGGCTCTTGTTTAAAACCAAAGATGATTTGACTTTGGGTGGTGGACATACAATGCAATATACAGATCATATATCATAGAAATGTACACTTGAAACCTATATGATACTATTAACCAATGTCACCCCAATAAATTTTTAAAAAGACCTTCGATCTTAGAGTCTCTACCTACTTCATCCCTTTAGCTTTGCCCTCAGGCCAGATCACCAGCCTTTCATGTCCCTGCAGGACCTCTCTCAGGCTTGGGCACTTCTGGGTCTCCTGCTCCCCGTGAGAAGGACTTGGGGAACTGGCAGTGCTGCCTTGGACTCATTTGATTTTCTACCTCTATCATAACATCCATCACTGTCTTGTCATATTACAAGTGGAGGCATCAGGTGTGGAGTTTTCCTCCCTCCAGGATGCCAGGGAAGTGTGCGCTAGCCCAGGTGTTCACAGTCTTTTACATTCATATCTGGGTGTTTATGGCTGCCTAGGGTAGGCGGAACTCTAAGGTGACTCTAGGGGTCCAGGCCCTTCGTGTACTCACACCTTTTCCTGGTATTAAATAAAACATGAATCCAGGTGCTAAATCCAGGTTTTGCAGATCAGTTGATGTTAAGAGGAGAATACCTATTGTAATAACTATGTATGGTGTTAGACGGGTACTAGACATATCAGGGTGATCACTTCATAAGATAAGTATCTAATCTAAAAGTGTCTAATATGTAAACTGTAATTGAAAATTTTTTAATTTTTTTTTTTTTAAAGAGAAAGGGAGATTACCCAAGTGAGTCAGATTTAATCACATGAGCGCTTCAATCAGGTCTGGAGGCCGGAGTCAGAGAAGTCAGAGAGATTGGAGTGTGAGTCTGTGGAGGGGACACAAGGAAAGGAGTTGAGGCAGCCTTTAGATGCTGAGTCATCCCTGGGTGACAGCTAGCAAGACAATGGGACCCCCGTTCTATAATTGCAAGGAAGAAATTCTGCTAACAATCAGAATGAGCTTTGAAGCAGATCTTTCCCTAGCTGATCCTCCAGGTAGAAATATAGCCAGAGAGGCAGAGCTAAGGGCCCAACCAAGACATGCTTATCCTCTGAGCTGAGGACCCAGCTGAAAATGTGGGACTCCTGACCCATGAAAACTGTAAGTAATAAATTTGTGTTGTTTTAAGCCACTAAGTTTGTGGCAATTTGTTACCCTGTATAGAAAACAAACACAATGACTTTCCTTAAGGTGACTGCAGCCCTAAGGTGGGAGGGAAAGCACCTTTAAACTTCCTTCCTTCTCAGCCCCTTTCTCTGTTCTCCTCTCTACAGGTCTTTGTTGGAGGAGACGGGCTCTTCCTCCCCTCTGGCCAGCCCTGTGGCCTTACTGTGTGTGGGAAGACTCTATTCTCTATAGTTCTGAGAAAATCCGAAACTTCCAGACACAAAATGACTCCTGCTCTGGTGTTCTAGAACAATATGGAACTGCTGACAACAAAGTAAATATGGTGGTTTATCATTCCCCAAATATTATCCCCACTTGATGCTGCAAACATGCAAATATTATATATGACTACAGTAAATGCTGAAATGCTGGTGGTTTTTCTGAGCAATGAGAAAACCAATTTTAACTCCTTAACATTTCTGAATAGGTCTTCAACTCTGCTCAAATCGGCTGGTTCTTTATTTTCTCTTCCAAATTAATTTATTTCACAAATATTGTCAGTGATATAGTGGCTTGAAGTACCTGCTGACAACACAGATTTAGTATTGGCATCTGCCCATATTTTTGAAATTTGTGCCCATCACTAGAGGCACTCAGCAATGTGTTAGGGTTTGTTAGAAGTCCCAGGATTAAAGCAGTGATTTATACTGGAGGGTCAATTTTGTTCAGATGGAGAGAATAAGCTAAGTGCTTTTGATATGTAATTTAAAACTAATTTGTAATATGTAAAAGAAGAAGTGATCAGTGTTGCTAGAGAATGGAACATATGCATGAATCTTCGAGATTAAAATAAGTGATTTCAAAGAATTTGCAGGCTTGTTTTAGTCTGTGAGGCAGAATCCAGGGGCCATGTGACCATTTTCTTCTACCATTGGCAATGGAGGAGGAGGTGCTTGTGGGAAGAATGACTGATGGTGGTGGGGTCCACAGCCATGGGAAGAGCACTGAAGACTCAGGGCTGCTTGGGTTAAAGTCATAGAATCCTAGAACATTTGAATAGATGGCTTTAGTTATTGGCTAGTTTTTAGATGTGTAGATGGTGCTATACTTTTTTTTGTGGTGGGACTGCATTATTTCAAATATTCAACCAGGCACACAGCTCCCTCAGGGGTGATGGGGATCTTTATAGCTAGAATGCAAAGAAAAGTAAGGAGTCAAACTTGAGGCTTTGATTGTCAAGATGGACTCTCAATGCTTCCTTCAGCAATAGTAGTTGGGAAAACCACACATTGAACTGCAAGAGCCAGGAGCTGGAGAGAAAAACATTTTTTCCAAATTCCTAAAGCTTTTCTTTAAATATTCAGTACCAGAGCTTGGAGGACTGAGCATACTTTTTTTTTCTTCTATAAACTAAAGAGTTAGAAGAATGTAGGATATGACAATTTCAATTTTCTGCCACATAGGAAGGCAACTGCAAACTTTCTAAACTAGGTGGAGGAATTTGGGGAAAGGAGAGAAGAGAGCAAAACAAAGCAAAGGAGGCTGGGGGAAGGTGGGCAATGGACACTCGGTAGGCAAGTTTGGGGGTGAGAAGACAAAGAAAGTTTCTACCCCATATCCAGAGGGAAGGGAGCTCATCAAATATCCATTGCCTATACAATACAAGGATTAAATTAAATATTTAAATTTTGTGATATATTCCAGGTCTGAAATTCTATAATTCTAAATCTCTTTATGTACATTGGGTGGATATTTTTAAAAATCCAGATTATCAGCTTTGCTGGGATTTTCTGACTTTCTTCTGATTGTAAAATATCATATTGAGGTTATAGGAACTACAGAGAGGTGTGAGGTAGGGATCAGGACTCCCCTGCTCACAACTCCCTTCTCTATCATAAATGGAGGTATGGGTTGTCAGCTTCAGCAGATAATGTCTGTGGACATTTATGAGAACTCCGAGTCTCATGAGCTTTCAGATTTTCTTCTTTGCACTAGAGAGTAATTAAAGTTAACAAAACAGTGACCAGTGGGGGAAAAAAATCCCAGTGAGGAGACTTACAGGAATTGTCAATAAACTCCTCACCTTATACATCCATTTTTTATTTTTATTTTTATTTTTTTATAAATATATCTTTATTGATTTCAGAGAGATGAAAGGAGAGGGAAAGAGAGAGATAGAAACATCAATGATGAGAGAGTCACTGATTGAGCCCGCAACCCGGGCATGTGCCCTGACCGGGAATCGAACCCTGATCGCCTGGATCCTAGGTCGACGCTCAACCGCTGAGCCACGCCCGGCCAGGCTACATCCATTTTTAAAAAAGAGCTGAGATATTGTTTATAAACCATATAATTCATACATTTAAAGTGTACAATTCAATGGTTGTTAGCATATTCGCAGTTATGTGCAGCCATCACCACAGTCGATTTTAGAACATTCTCATCACCCCCAAAAGAAGCCACATATGACTCAGCTATCATCCCCCTTCCTCCCCAGAGCCTTTCTTCCTCAGCTCTGGCAACCACTGATCTCCTTTCTGTCCCTAGATGTCCCTGTTCTGGACATTTTATATTTATGGAATCATATAATATGTGGTCTCTTGTGATTGTTTTTTTTTTCTTTTTTACTTGCCATAATGTTTTCAAGGTTCATTCATGTTGTAGCATGTATCAGCACTTCATTTCTTTTTATGACCAAATGATATTCCATTGTATTGATATGCCATACCTTGTTTATCCATTTGTCAGATGAGGGGCATTTTAACCATTTCCACCTATATTTCATTTTCTGTGTTCTGCAGTGTGTGGAGTTCTACTAGGCACCTAACAATGAGGCCTACTTCCCTTTCCTGAAAGCATAGGTAGACTAAGAAAACCTGATCTATCTGGGATTCAGGCAATTTTTTTTTTTAAATGTTTTTTTAAATTTATTTATTCCAGAGAGAGGAAGGGAGAGGGAGAAATAGATGATAAGTCATTGATCTATTGTCTCCTGCATGCCCCCTTCTGGGGACTGAGCCCACAACCCCGGCGTGTGCCCTGACTAGGAACTGAACCATGACCTCCTGGTTCATGGGTCTATGCGCAACAACTGAGCCACTCTGGCTGGGCTGGGACTCAGACAAATTTAAGTTCTATATGTGTTGAGATGATGCAAAAGGCCAGCTTGGAGAGGTCCTTTTAGTTGCAGATCAAGATGGTGTCCAGGACAGAACTTCAGAGACTCTCATATTCTCTTAGAGGCAATCAGGCTCAGGACCTGACTCACATTTACCCAACTTAATAGAAATCCTATGCCAGACCACCAAACTGCCTGATAAGTCAGGAAGTTATTTCAGGAATTTACAATGTCTCTAAACAGACCTGGAGTCAAGAGTTGGCTGGTTTATGCAGCATCTCCGTGTAGAAAAGTCTACATGAGAAGTCAGATTACTATCAGAAGGTTGCCTTGTGAGGACTACTGAAGGCATAGGGGACTGGATAACTTTAAGGAATTGACATTTAAGCCATAATAGCTGAACATGCTTTGATATGTGTTGGATAAGCATTCTTCTGGTCAGGACACCCTGTTTTTTCAATATGTAGCTTTAGATAAACACTGACCAACTCTTGCTGTTTTCACCATTTCTTCCTCATTTCAAGTTGATGACTGGCTTTCTATGTACACTAAATTTTTATAATATACAGGGCTGGGCAAAAGTAGGTTTATATGGAAAATAATACACTAATTAATAAATAATAATACAAGGCCCTAGCCAATTTGGCTCAGTGGTTAGAGTGTCAGCCCATGGACCAAAGGGTTCTGGGTTCAGTTCCGGCCATGGGCTTCTAAGCATGGATTTCCGTTGCAGGCTCAATCCTTGGCCAGATTGGGGCGTGTGTGGGAGGCAACCAATCAATGCGTCTCTCACATTGCTCTTTCTCTTTCTTTCTCTCTCCCCTTTTCACTCTCTCTGACAAAGCAATGGAAAAAATATCCTCAGGTGAGGATAGAAAAAAAATAATACAAGAATTAACTTTGTATTTTGTGTACTCACAACTGTAAACTTATTTATCCCCACCCTATAATTACTTAAAACAATAATATCCAAACTTTGTTTTATTTCAAAAATATGTTTTTATTGATTTTAGAGAGAGAGAAAGGGAGAGGGAGAAAGAGAAAGATCAGTGTGAGAGAGAAACATCAATTGGCTGCTTCCTGCACACCCCCTACTGGGGACTGAGCCTGGAACCTGGGCATTTTCCCTGACAGGTAATCGAACTGGTTACCTTTCCTTCAACCATCTGAGCCACACTGATCAGGGCCAGACTCTTTTTAATTGTGCACTCTTATGATTAAAACTTTTTGAGTGTTAATCCCACATATATTTGTTTATAAGTTGTATACATGTACCACTATCAATTTGTATATTAAAATTAAGATTTATTTATTTCTTTAAATTAAATTGAATCTAAATTGAAATGTTAATATTTTTCTTATACCTCAGAGTGTCTTATCCTCCCCATTTAAAGCATATTGTTTTAGAACTTTTTGTTTTTGCATTAATCCCATCCCAGTTCTAAAGTTGCATTCTAATCATCTGATCTTTTACTTGGATTTAATCCCATTTGGGTTTACCAGCCTTATAAACCCACTCTTTAACATAGGTTATTTAGATGAAATCCGAAGGGCTACCTTATCTATTTTATATTGATTCTATTACTTTCAATTTTAGATTTTCTAAGGTGACATCTTCTGTTCATTTTCTAAGATTCCAGTGGGGAGCTTACTGGAGCCTTCTGAGCACGGACTAAAATCTTGCAGGGGAGCTAATGTTCTGCACTTAGGCTTCCCTGAGAAGACAAATGGTGGAAGATGAGTGTCTGGGGGAGTCACTCCTAGCAAGAATGTGGATTAATGGCACCAAGATGGTGAAATTGGGGTTGGTAATAGAACTTAGAAATTGGCAACAATCATTGAGAGGCAATGATTAGCCTTTTGGAAGGGGGCACTGTGCTCTCCCTGCCTAACTGTGCTCCCTGATATATTGATTAGACTGTAGAGATACTCAGAGGAACTGAAGTGAAGCCCAATCCCCAGAGCAGAGAACAAGATGGTTCCAGAAAATTCTTTGGTCCTAATTGAGAGACATCAGTAAATTAGAATTTTAGTATCTTAGAGAGAACACCTTAGGTTCAAAATAAAGGATGGGCTGGACTTCAGATGAAAAGAAAGCTGCTTCCTCACAGACCAGGCTTGCTAAAAGAGAGAATTCTGTCCTCAGACTATGTCAGTGGTTCTTAACGCTGTGTGCAAAATGGACTCACCCAAGGAGCTGTTAAAATGACTGATGCCTGTCTCACCCCCCAAGATTCTGATTTCATTTGTCTGGGCTGAGGATTGGCCATTGAGATATATATAGACTTCAGATGATTCTAATGTGCAGTCAAAGTTGGGAACTATTGGACTAGAGGGTAGAGAATGGAGTGACCCAAGGAGTTACAAGAAGAACATTAAAGGAAAGAGGAGGGACCTGGAATAGCCTAAGTAATTCTGGAAGGTTGAACTGCAGGACCTCCCATGACCTCATTCACCAGGCTACCATAGATACTAGGAAGAGAATATTCAGAAAGAGAAGGAAATGGGGAAAGGCTGGGACTTC